AGAGAGTTTGGGTCATTTATCCTGTGGCAATCACTAGGGAAGCCCTACCCAGGAGGCTGGTGGCCTTTGCATGATGATGGCCATGGGTTGTGACAACTCCCTACAACCCAGAAAAGCAGGAGCTGGCTGACATTGGTGGTGAAGGGCTGAGCAGGTGGGACAAGTGAGCAGGACAGCCACATGGGGTGGAGGGGTCCTGCAGTGCTGGGGAAGGGTGCTGCATCCTGCACTGTTCCTTGCAGCATCATCCCAAGCAGTACCCAAGGCCAGCACTGCAGGCAACAGGGATGCTGTGAGAGTATGCAGAGTGAGACCAGGCACTCTGCTCCTCAGCCTGACACCATCTCAGGGCTCTGCCTCTGCTTTTTAAAGCTTCAGGTGCCCCCTGGTAGTGTCTTGCACGTTTCAGGTTGTGGTTGTGTCCCACTCCCCCGGCCTATTTTGGGGCTTAGGATCTGGTTCTATACAGCAAGCTCAATACCCTGGGACCATGCTGGAGTCCCCAGGTACCACCTCAAGTGACATCCTGGCTGGGGGATGAGGTGCCTAGGGGAGATCGGTGGCTGGGGGTGTGATGGGGACAAGCTTACATTGGGGATGCCAGGGCAGGGTTATGCCTAGGTGGGCAAAGCAGGGCAGACTGGGAGGATGTCTATGCACAGTGGAAACGTGGTGCTGAGGGTCTGGCTAATGGGTAACCCTCCTGTCCTCTCTCTCCCTGCACAGAGCACTCAGCCGCTGCGAAGACAGGGGGCTGCTTTCCCGGGCGGGCACTGGCAACGCTGGAGGACGGTGCCCAGACGCCACTGTGGGCACTGCGCCCAGGCCAGCGAGTGCTGGCAATGGACGGGGCAGGCAGGCCCACCTACAGTGACTTCTTGGCTTTCCTGGACAAGGAGCCCCGTGCCCTCACCACCTTCCACGTCATCGAGACACAGGAGCCACGCCGGCGCCTGGTCCTGACACCCACCCACCTGCTCTTTGTGGCAGAGAACGCTTCGGCGCCCACCGCCCACTTCCGTCCCGTCTTTGCCAGCCTCGTGCTCCCGGGACATTTTGTGCTGGTGGTGGCTGGGGGGGGCAGCTTGCAGCCTGCTGAAGTGGTGCGGGTGCGGCACCGGAGGGATGTGGGAGCCTATGCCCCGCTGACACGCCATGGGACACTGGTGGTAGATGGCGTGGTGGCCTCGTGCTTTGCTCTGGTGAAGGAGCAACAGCTGGCACAGCTGGCCTTCTGGCCACTCCGGCTCTACCACAGCCTGCTGGGGTGGCCAGAGGTGCAGGGGGATGGCGTGCACTGGTACTCAGGGCTGCTCTACCGCCTGGGCAGGCTGATCCTGCCCCCTGACAGCTTCCACCCACTGGAGATATCCCAGGCAGAGAGCTGAGGGTGCACCACAGCCCCAGCCAGCACAGCTGGTGGAGATGGTGGCTGCAGGGTGACTCACTGGGGGCCAGTACCCCCTCCCAAAGCTGGGTGCCCATGGGGAGCTGCCTCCAGCCCTCTGCCTGCTTGGGGTACAACCGTCTCCTGGTTGGGGGGCACCGAAGCTCCATGGTGTGCCTCGTCCATGTTCACCACCCCCTCCTCAACCCCTGTTCCTGGGGACAGGAGGGAGGCATGAAGGGTTTCCCCCGGGACAGGGGGCTGCCCCCAGCTGGATCCACATGCTGCTATGTGTGTGTGTGTGCAATGTGTGTGTGTGTGCAGAATTAGCTGACGGAGGTCTGATAGACGAGTGGGAGGGGGAAGAGGAGAGAGCCCTGGCTGCTCCACCGGGGCTCCCACCGTGTCTGC